AAGTGTCCATAATTTATAAGTGACATATGAGTCTCTAATCATAAAATTCAACACGTACATTATGAACATTCTTATGAATATCCTAATGTACGTATAGAATTATCATTTATCTTTATGATCCATTAAACTTGAAGTTACGAGCTTAACATCTTATATTGAAATTAATTACTCCCTTGTAACGAAATAATTATTAATCACCAAAGGTCTTTTCGGCAATGATTCTATTTTACTTCATTTTGTAAAATGGTTAATAAAAAAAGCTATCTTAATTAACGTTTGAAAATTAATTTATAAAAGAGTTTTTTCTACCAAATGAGCTTTTAAGGAAAATCACGTTTAACCAACTTTTAGTAAAAACTCTTCTATCAAAAGAAGCATTTTTAGTAAATTAATCAAACATTCCATAAACAACTTTTGAATCTCAAAACTTCATTTCGACCTCTTAAAAGTTATGTCGAACACACTTTTACTATTTCACATGAATATACTAATTTACCGGAGATTTGATTAATAGAAAGTATACCTTAGCAAACAACTAAAACTTGGATTAACAATTATGATATCCAATTAAACCCATGTTACTGTGTAATTTAATAACTATTAATTATTTAAAAGGTGATTATTTTCAAACAATAATGCAAAAGTACGAATTAGTTGCTTAGGTACAACGACTAAGCAAAAGTCTTTAGACAATTAGTCAACTATAATATATATATATATATATATATATATAGCACAATCCTCATTACTTGTTAATAATTCGTGGAACCTTAGCTTCATAAAGTCTTTGGACAATTAGTCAACTTACTATGCATACCCGTTCCCACATTGCCCCACTCAAATGAGGATTGGTGTCTCGCTTATTTAGGTAATCTCTCTGTCCCGAATTTTTTCATTATATATTTATCATATTTTAAATTTAAGTCGTATTTAAAAATAATGTTTTTTGATATAAATAATTAAATGAAAAAATTCATTGCCAAGACCCACTCCTCACCCATCCCCTGACCCTCAACTTCCCGATAGGTTGTCGGTCAAGGACGGGAAGGTCGCTCCATCTAGGGCTGTAAGCAAAAACCATCAAACCAGAAAATTGAACCGAAATCACATTTTAGAAACCGTCGATTTGATCCCACGTGGGTTCTTTCAATGAAATAGTTTTGAACCAAACCAAATCAAACCGGTTAAAATGATTTGGTTTAAGTTTGGGAATTTTTAATTGTGGTTTAAAATTAAACCGGATCGACGAAAAAATATATAAAAATAAAGAAATGAAAAAGTAATTTTTTTTTTTAAAATTCATCCAAATATGTAAAATTCAATAGTTTTGTCATTTGTGAGTATTTTTGTCAATTTCTAATTTTCTAATATAGATATATTATTATTATCCAATAATCCTAATATATATTTAATAATCTTAAAATTAACATAATTTATCAAAGCCCTTTTCCTCTTCAGAATTTAGATGAACTTCAGTCAATACACAACACAGTTTTGAGCCACCGGCACCACTTACTTTTTTTCAGATTTTTCACGTCTCTTCAAAGTTGAATTGAAGTTCATTATACCAAATTGGAGACAAAGAGATCATAGACTTTCGATGATAATATTTGCTACGAATAAAGTTTCGGATCAATAATTTTGTTGGAGCAAACTAAGGTAAAAATTTGAAATTAAATGTGTTTCGTAACATCATACAAACGTAAATTTGTGTAATTGTTATATTTAAATATTATAAACAATTGCTTTATTATTGTGGTTGGTTATTCTCTTTATCTAATCAATATCATTTTTTCAGATATGGTGATCACGAAATCTTGTTGGATATCATTATGTTTTTTTGGGTCTCATGTCTAGTTTAGTAGACTTGTATTGTAACGTTATTGTATCGTCATTAGTCTGAAAAAAAATTAAAAAAAAAACTATGTTTTAGTTTATTGTGATTTCACTTTGATTTAGTTGAAATTTAAATTTACAGTAAATATATTCTACCCCTTGTTTGAGCCATATTTTCAATATTATCATAATGAGAAAATTGATCATGGGAGAGGAAGCTAGGTCCCAGACATGAAATAGTAGGTCAACAAAGGCGACTAAACTTAAGGGATAACGGTTCAAATTTTCATTTTTTGGTCCCAAAAATTTGGTTCAAACAGGAGCTTAGTTTGTTTTAGATTTATTGCTAGTAACATATAAATATGTATTGAATTCAATGAATTAACGATATAAAAGTAGACAGGCAAAAAAACATATACCAAAATCAACGGTTTAAAACTGAACCTAACCGTTATGTTTAGGTTTGAGTTTTTTTCAAACTATTTAAAATTGTTTGGTTTAGGTTTGAATTTTTCTCAAACCGATTTGATTTGAAAACCTGTCTAAAACAAGACCGCTTACACCGCTAGCTCCATCCTCATCTTGGCCCACCTCTTTTTCGTACTTAACTATTTTTTTAGCTAAATATTGTTTATATGCAAATATTAAATTTTTATATTTAACATCTTGTTTTGATTTATACATTTATAAGTATTAAATTTTATTGATAAGCATTTTAATCTTTAAATTATGTATACATAACACATGTATAATTATAAAAATTTAAATCATTTATTACCAAAATATTCAACAAATTTCACTTCGACATTTTTACTGATATGCCTATTCAAAAATTGTGTATCCAAGGATTGCCATTTAAGCACCATCAAACAATTCTCTTGATATCTATTGCGATTCTAGATCAAAATAATTAAGGGTTTGTTTGATTGCAAAAGTGAATTTTGTACGGAAAGAAAATGAATTGAATTGTCTAATACTTGTTTTAGTGAGAATTGTCGATTAAATGTGTTTGAATGACATAATTTTTCATCTGAAAAATGTTGAAATTTTAGATCTTTTGGTATTCGTTTGACTTTGTTTTTCATTAAAATTATCAATTAAATGAATAGATTTTTTTACAATTGTCCTTAGAATTTATTTTCATTACCACCAAAAAAATAATAAATAAATAAATAAATAAAAATGATCAACTTGGAAAAGCTAGAATTGGTTTTCCACTCACCACCTCAATCTAGATGGCATTGATGTGGTATTAAATGATAAGTCAAATCACCTTTTATTTAACCTATTATCGAGCGCCACAAGTTCCAACCTCAATGAAGCTACATGACATTATTCTATTACTAAACATAAACAGCCATTACAAAAAGTTCCACCGTGAGAACCTGTTAAAGTAACCCCCCCCCCCCCCCCCCCCCCCGGG